AGTTGTGGTGTTGGCAAAGAATACTGAAGAGTACCACAGACTGCTAAAAGAACTAACAAGTTTGTCCTGAAAGAAATGCAGCCAGAATGCTCCTTGGAAGCAAGAATGACCAAACTTCATCTCACCTACTTTGGTCATGCTGTCAGAAGGAACCATTCCCTGGAGAAGGATATCATGCTCAGTAAAGCGGAGGGTCATTGAAAAAGGGGAAGGCCCTCAATAAGATGGATTGACACAGTGGCTACAACGTTGGGCTCAGGTACAGTAAGGATCACGAGGATGGCACAGGACTGGGCAGTATTTCGTTCTGTTGTACAGAAGGTTGTAATGAGTCGGAAATGACTCAACGGCAACTAACAACAACAAAAATGTTGTATCATACATCAGTACTTCATTCTTTTTCTGGCCAAAATATAATCCATTTATATGGATATATCACATTTTCTTTGTCTATTCATCAGCTGACAGACATTTGGGTTGTTTCCACCTTTTGGCTCCTACGAATAATGCAGCAATGAATATTCGTGTACAAGTGTTCATGCAGACATATGCTTTCAGGAAAAATGGAGATATGGAGATTCACAAAAGTAAAATAAAAGTAATGTAAAAACAATTTTCGATGATGAAATATTATGTGTTTCGAGATTCTTTTAGGTTAAAGAGAGAGCAAAGGTACATATTGACAGTAGCAAGTACACAAAGGATTAATGTACAGAGAGCTCATATATGAGCTATTCTTTATCTCCTCGAACCACAGGAAATGGAATTTTATCTATAGGATGGTAAGTAAACGAGTTCTGGTAAGATGGCGGAATAGGCAGAGAGACTGCACAGACTCGCTTCAACAAAGATAAGGGGAACCAATTAACACAGATACAGAAGATAATCCTGGAGCCCTGAACTTTGACAGGAAGGATACAGAAGTGAGCTGAACTCCAAGTAGTAGAAGAACCTGCATGAAAACACCAAAAAAGGAGAGATATGGAGCTGCAGTCTGTCAGCGATCCTGACAACATGGACAGCTTGCATATTGCCAAGTGGTGTTAGGACCTAAGAATTAACCTAAAAATTGGCCCTGCTAGCCAGGGACTGCATGGAGGACTGCACTGGTGGCTGGTGAATAAAAGGGGAAGCAGCTGTGGATTTTGGGTTGTCTGGAGGGTGCAGCCATTTTGAATGTTTCAAGCGGTTCCACTATTTTGGATATTTAAAGTGACAGCATTCTCCCAGACTCCAGGGACTTACGGATAGGCTCCACTTGCCAGGGACCGCAAAGACGTTCCAGACACGAACAACTGGAAAGGTGCACTATTCCCCTCGTTACTCTTATATCCCCCACCCTCTTGGTGAACGGAGGTGCAGCCATCCATCCCAGTCTGTGTGGTCTGACGGAGCCTGGGTACCCTGCCTCAACCCACCTATATTTCTTTCTTTTTTTTTGGTTAGTTTGTTTGTATCTGCTTTAAAATTATT